AGTTCGTTTCCCGCCGAGAGAAACGTGGGTTGGTGTGTGTGTGTGTGTGTGTGGGGCTACGTAAAGCCAACGACCTCCGGCGGTTACCCAGGCTCACCCAGGCCCACTCATATTCAGACTCGCACATAGTCAGGTTCACTCAAATCAGATTCAGACTCATACACTCATACAGTCAGAGCCCCATGCTCATCGCGATGTGGCATGCGTTGCTTTTGAGCACCTCAAGGATGAGCCGCCAGGGGTGAATACATGTTCCGTTCGCGCCAAGATTTTGGGGATGTCTCAGGCGGTTCGCTTGTTTGGTTAATGAGACGCGTCTTTCTCAGGGCCCCATGCCCATCGCGACGTAGCAGGCGTGGCATTTGAGCACCCCGCGGAAGAGCCGCACGTGGTGGAGACACTTGCCATTTCGCACCAGATTGTGGGGATGTCTCAGGCGGCTTGGTTGTTTGATGTATTGTATTTCTACATTTTCAGAGCCACATGCTCATCGCGACGTTGTCGGCGTGTCGCTTGAGCACCCCTAGGAGGAGCAGCCATGGGTGGGAGCAGCTGCCCCTTCGCGTCCGGATTCTGGAGTGTCTCAAGCGTTTTGCTTGTTTTGTTGATTGTTTTTTCTTTTGTTTCAGAGCCCCATGCTAATCTCGACGTAGCGGGGGCGGCATTTGAGGACCCCGCGGAGGAGTCGACAGGGGTGGACACATTTGTTTGTTCGCGCCCGTACTCTGGGGATGTCTCAGGTGGTTTACCCGTTTGGTTGACTGTATATTTTTTCAGAGCCGCATGCCCGTCTCGACGTAGCAGGCGCTGCATTTGAGTAGCCCAGGGACGAGTCGCCAGGGATTGGGAGTGCCCGTTCGCGCCCAGACTGTGGAGATGTCTCAGGCGGCTTGCTTGTTTAGTTATTTAGATTCCCTTTTTTATTCATCGCCCCATGCTCATCACGACGTAGCACACGTGGCATTTGAGCACCCCACGGGGGAGGCGCTTGTGGTGGGGACGGCATGTTCGCTCCCCAGATTGAGGGAATGTCTCGGGCGATTTGCCTGCTTGGTTGACTGGAACTCTGTTTCTACAACGCCCCAAGTTTATCGCGACGTAGCAGGCGTGGAATTTGAGCACCCCACGGAGGAGCTGCTAGTGATTGGGATACTTGCCCGTTCGCGCTCATATATTGGTGATGTGCCAGGCGGTTTGCCTGTTTGGTCAATTGGACTTAGCCACATGTTCACCGTGATGCAGGAGAGGTGGTATTTGAGCATCCTAGGGAGGAGTTCTGGGGGGGGGCATTTGCCAGTTCGCCCCATATTCTGGGGATGTCTCAGACGGTTTGCTTGTTTGGTCCGCGACGCCGCAGACGTGGTAATTATTTGAGCACTCCAGGGAGGAGCCACCAGGGGTGGGTGCATGTTCCCGTTCGCACCCAGACTATGGGATGCCTTGGGCGGTTTGTCTGTTTGGTTGATTGGACTTCTCTCTCTTTTTGTTTCAGCCTCGTGCTCACCGCGACGAAGAACGCGTGGCATTTGAGCACCCCACGGAGGAGGCGCTAGTTCACCACTTCCAACGTGGGATTCTCGCTTTCTCTGGGCACCCCGCGCATGAACCAGAATACACACTACATCATCACCACCCTCCCACTCACTCACTCACTAACCCACTCAGCCACTCACACACTCATTCACTCATCACTATCACTCATTCGCTCAGCCATCACGTCGCCATCACTCACACACACACACACACTTCTGAAGCACCACCAACATCAGTAGCATCATCACCACATCATCAGCAACATCAGTCGCAGCATCAGTCTCATCCACCCACTTACTCACTTTTTCACCCCCACTCACTCCTTCACTCATCGCCATTATCACAATCATCACCGTCATCACTCACACACCCACTCACAGTCTCATCCACTCACACACAGACCATCTAGATCACCGTGACCATCACTCGATCATACATTCACTCACCCATTCACTCATCATGTGCATCTTCCTAATCACCATCACCACTCATTCAGTCGTTCACTCACTCACGCACTCATTCGCTAGCTTGAATATATGGGGGAAGTATCAGGCGGGAGCCTCGTCAGTGAGTGCATTGCGAGGAAGTCTCAGGCGGGAGCCCTCCTCCCTATGGGGCCAGCATTTTATGTTTTTGACCCGAGCGGTTCATCGAACCTGTACATGTCATCACTTTTGGGCTCGTGAGGCCTGAGTATGGGGGAAGTATCAGGCGGGAGCCTCGTCAGTGAGTGCATTGCGAGGAAGTCTCAGGCGGGAGCCCTCTCCTTATGGGGCCCGCACTCCGTGTTTTTAACCCGAGCGGGTCATCCTCGAACTTGTACCTGTCGCCGTTTTTGGGCTCTTGAGGCCTGAATAAAGGGGGGGAAGTATCAGGCGGGAGCCTCGATTGTGAGTGAACTGTGAGGAAGTCTCAGGCGGGAGCCCCTTCCGTATATGGCCCCTGTAGTTACGTATCGCCAATTCTTGGGTTCTTGAGGCCTGAATATGGGGGAAGTATCAGGCGGGAGCCCCCTCCAGATGGGGCCCGCATTTTGTGTTTATCATGCCCTCGAGAACTTCGATGAGAAAGCGGAGAGCTTCAGGGATGAGGCCGAGCAGCTCGCCGCGGAGTTTGGCTTCGTGCTGCCTCCCGCCTGAGCGCGGCCGTGACTAGCTCGGTGCCTGCGGGGTTGCCCCAACGGCTTGCTCCCGCGCCCCAGCGGCTCGCTCGGTTGCCCCAGCGGCCTGGCCCGCGGGGTTGTCCCAACGGCCGCGCGGGTCATCGTCGAACCTGTACCTGTCGCCGTTTTTGGGCTCCTGAGGCCTGAATAAAAGGGGGGGAAGTATCAGGCGGGAGCGTCGATTGTGAGTGAACTGTGAGGAAGTCTCAGGCGGGAGCCCCTTCCGTATATGGCCCCTGTAGTTACGTATCGCCAACTCTTGGGTTCTTGAGGCCTGAATATGGGGGAAGTATCAGGCGGGAGCCCCCTCCAGATGGGGCCCGCATTTTGTGTTTATCATGCCCTCGAGAACTTCGATGAGAAAGCGGAGAGCTTCAGGGATGAGGCCGAGCAGCTCGCCGCGGAGTTTGGCTTCGTGCTGCCTCCCGCCTGAGCGCGGCCGTGACTAGCTCGGTGCCTGCGGGGTTGCCCCAACGGCTTGCTCCCGCGCCCCAGCGGCTCGCTCGGTTGCCCCAGCGGCCTGGCCCGCGGGGTTGTCCCAACGGCCGCGCGACGCGGCCATTCGAGAATGCGCCCGCGTTGGCCGAGGTGGCGACGGCGTTGAGGAAAATCGACGCGCGCGCTCTTGCAATAGACAAGAGAGGAGATGGTGGGTGACGAAACACAGCGCAGGAGGGCGAGGCAAGGGCAACGCGGGGAGCGGGTGAGGGCCTTGCGCCAGGGCGAGGATGATAATGACGCAGAAAAGACAAGGAGGGCGCCTCATTAATCGCGAGGACAACAGTGACGTTTATCTCAGGTTAGCCGAAAGGATTTTCATGTGGTGTCTTTCCGTCGGAGTAATTCTGGGGATTGTTTGTTCGCGCCCATATTGTGAGGATTTCTGGGGTGGGTATCATTTTTTGTTCCTCTCTCTCTCTCTGTCACTTCTCTGGCCCCCATGATCATCGCGAAGTAGCAGGCAAGGCGCTTGAGCATCCCGCAGAGGAGCCGCCAGGTGTGGGAGCACTTGCTCGCTCGTGCCCAAACGCTGGGGATGTCCCAGGTGGTTGCGCCGCGTTCCTCGCTCCCCCTCCCTCGTTTCACCTTGTCCGTGGCGCCCCGGCGCACCCCTGCAACGCCCTCGCGGCGCTTTGCTGCAAGTCGTATGTCCGTATGTCCGTATGTTCCAGGCGGTTTGCCTGTGTGGTTAATTGAGCTTCTCTTGTCATAGCCCCATGCTCACCGCGATGTAGGAGGCGCGGCATCTGAACACCCCAAAGAGGAGCCGGCAGGGGTGGGGGGACATTTGCTCGTTCGCGCCCAGATCGTGGTGATGCTTCGGGCGGTTTGCCTTGTTGGTGGCTTGGACGTCGGTGCTTTCAATCCATATGTGGGGATTTCTCGAGCGAGGCGCTGTTGCACCTCAAGGAGGAGCCGCCACGGGGCAGGTCATTTGCCCGTTCGCGCCCAGATTTTGGGGATATCCCAGGCGGGGTGGCTTTTGGGTGGCTCGGTTTTTTTTCTTTTCCGAGCCCCATGCTCAGCGCCATGTAGCAAACGTGGCCATTAAGCATCCCAAAGAAGGTCCGAACGGGGTGGGAATATTTTCCCGTTCGCGCCCAGATTGTGGAGATGTCTCTGGCGGCTTGCTTGTTTGGTTGATTGGATTTCCCTTTTTGCAGAACCCAATGCTCATCGCGACGTAGCAGGCACGACGTTTGCGCGGCGATGCTCCGACGTAAAGGCCGACGTGAATCCGAAGTATCCCGACGGGAACCCGACGTAAATCCGACGTGGATCCGACGAAAATTGTGTCTCAAGTTTCCGCGCGCGGCCTCCACGATCTTCTTCTTCAGACTGCTGCGATGCGGCTCGGTGTGAAGCCCGTTTTTATCTATGCCGACGTCGCCGATGCATCGCCGACGACGCCGATGCATCGGTGATGTATCGACGAAGCAGCGCGATCGTCCGACCCCATCCACTCCGACCCCATGTGAGCGTCCGATGAGACTGGGGTCGATTGCGCCGACATTGGCGCGTAAACGTCCCGCGTAGCATCGCCCTCGTTTCTAATGTGGCGTGCCGCGCCAGCGGCCCGCGTAAGCCACCGCGTAAGGTCATCATGTCAACGTGCTTGAGGAAATACGCTGCTGTGGAGGGCTGGCCTGAGCAGACATTGCATGTCCTACGTCTACGCGCCGTTCGGCGTACGATTTTTCAGTGAGTGAGTGAGCCAACGTGCGAGGACCCGTTTTCCCGTCGCTCGTCTGGGCGACCTCGAAAGCGCGGCCTTCCGCCTCCCAGGCTTGCGCCCTCCTGCGAGGCTAAAGCCCCGTGGGGCGCCGCGGCGTCGCCGCTGACGCCGCCAGCCTCCCAGCCGCGCCAGCGCCCCTCTCCGCCGGAGGGCGTGAGCACGCCCGAGAGGCTCCCGAGAGGGGGGGGTGCAGAGCATCACTCGGGGAAGCCTAGGATCAGGGGGGGAAGAGGAGCCGATATCGCTACTCTAACCGCGTTTTCTTTATTTTTTCAAGGCCAAGGAGGAGGACGAGGAGGAGGAAGACAAGTGTAACACCAAGATTCATCAACGCTATTGCAAGAAACCCTACCCTCCAAGTTCTTTCTTCACAGGCCCTTCACAGGCCGTTCAAGTGTTTTGTTGGAAGACAGCCGCTTGAAAACCATGAACTGTGCTACAACACTATTCCCAGGACTTCAACGCCGCGAATCACCGTTACTGGTGCGTCTGAACGATCCTGAAACGTACCAAACTAGCGCGTTCTGTGGTCGCTTGGAGGGACAAAAAGGTCGACCCCCCCCTCCCGTGACGGAGGTGGGTGGGGGGGTTCGAACCCCTCCCCACCCTCCCTACCTCTCCTCTCTCCCTCTCCTCGGCTGGCGGCGGCGGCGGCGGGGACAATGATTTCCTTTTCTTGGCCGGCGACGGCGCCTGCGGCGGCGGGCGGCGGCGGCGGGGAGGGTCGACGAGGACGACGGTGGTGGTGGTGGTGGTGGTGGATTGTGCTGGTGGTGGTGGCGGTGGTGGTGGTGGCGATGGTGGTGGTTGTGGTGGTGGTGGTGTGGTGGTCTGTTGTGGTGGTGGTGGTTGTGGTGGTGGGTGGTGGTGGAGGTGGTGGTGGTGTGGGGGTGGTGTGGTGGTTGCTTGTGATGGTGGTGGCGGTGGTGGGTTGTGGTGGTGATGGTGGTGGTGGTGGTGTGGTGGTGGTTTGTGGTGGTGGTGGTGTTAGGTTGTGGTGGCGGCGGTAGTTTGTGGAGGTGGTCCTGGTGGTGGTGGTGGTGGCGGCGGTGGTGGTGGTGGTGTGGTGGTTTGTGGTGGTGGTGGTGGGTTGTGCTGCTGGTAACGGTGGTGGCTGTGGCGGTGGTGGTGGTGGCGTGGTAGATTGTGGTGGGTTGTTGGTGGTCGTGGTGGTGGTGGTGGGTTTTTGTGGTGTTGGTCGTGGTGATGGTGAGTTGTGGTGGTGGTGGTTGTGGTGGTGGTGGTGGCTGTGGTGGTGGTGTTGGTTGTTGTGTGGTGGGTTGTTGGTGGTGGTGGTGGGTTGAGGCGGTGGTGGTGGTGGTTGTGGTGGTGGTGGTGGTAGTGGTGGTTATTGTCGCTGCGTCCCTGCCGTCGCCGGCGCCAGCACCGGCGCTGCTGGCCGTCGCCAGCGCTGGCGCCAGCGCCGGGGGGGGGTTGAACCCGCCCCCCCCCTCTCGGCGCCAAAGGGGGGGGGGCGGTGTTGAACCCCCCCCCCTTGGGGTACCTCTGGTCATCGTCGCTGCGTCCCCGCCGTCGGCGCTGCTGGCGGCCGCCGGCGCCGGGGACGGGGGGGGTCGGGAGGGGGGGAGTGGGGGGGAGGGGAGTCCTCCTGGTTTTGATCGACGGCGCCGAGTGTTGGGGGGGGGCCCACCCCCCAGTTCGAAACGCGCCGCCGAATGTTCCGAAGGCAAGCGCCCGTGAAACGCGTTCTCTCTGATTTCAATACCGCGAATCTACGTGACTGTTGCTTTCTGACACTCCGACATCATGCCCAAGCCTCGCTTCTGGGACGTTGGACATGAGAATTCTGGCAAGTGTTGGACATTCTTTGGACGAAAGTGTGCGGCGCTACGGCGATAGCCACGATTGTGAAAAAGACACCGCCCTCAATCCGTGAAGCTGTTGCACATGTTTGAGACGAGTGTGCGCGACGCTAAGGCGAAAACTATCGCTAAGGTGACACCCAGTCTTTGAAAACGGGCCACCCTCCTTCTGTGAAGCTCTGGCAAATTTCCAGCTCATGAATGGTGAAGACGTCTAAAGCGAAACGCCCTGCCCGCCTAACCGTCACGCTGCGGGGTGCGACAGGACAGGGAACATCATTTACGTGTGAAAGGGTTGGAGGAGGGGGAGGAGGGGGAGGAGGGGGAGGAGGAGGGGAAGGCCGCGCCGGCGCCCCTCCCCGCCGGAGGGCGCGAGCACTCTCGAGATGATCCGGGGGGGTCCGCACGCCTTTCCCTTGTTTTCGCCTTTTTGCGCCACCTGGGAGGCCTTCGTCGCCACGGCTAGATTCGCGTCGATACCCTGGTCAGAGTGCACCTCCGAAGAGGTCTGGGGGTATCGATATCGGTATTTTTTGTTTTCCCCAGGGACGCGGAGCGTGCTCGTCATGATTTTCGACGGTCCAGTTTCGTTTGATATTTTCGAGCAGGAGTTGGCGTCAGATTTCACATCGGGTCTCGTCATTGATCTGACAGCCCCGTCAGGCCAACATGAGCTCCCCAGACTCGATTCTTCCGTCTCCCTGGCATTCGGCGACGCACATGTGCATGTCCGTGCACTTGCGGTCTGGATCCGCAGGAGAGAGCGCGGCATGAACAAAAACTTTCGGAACTCCGCGCCGACTGCTCGGATCGGCTCCGGGACCCTGGCGCGCGCCAGGGAGGAGGGTCCAGCGCCGATCTAAGAAATTCGCGTGGACCCCCGAAGGTTCCTATTCATGAAGTTATTCGTTCCTCTATGAAATGCGAGGCGTGATCTGATAGTACCTGGGGGCCTCTGGGAGGGCCTCCTGACTCGTGGTTGCATTTTGGGGCCGACTTGGGTCCATCTTGGGTGACGTTGATGGCGAATTGGGCCTCCGGAGGCCCCCTCAGTTCCATCTTGGGCAACATTGGAACTATCCTATGGTTTCTGGGGGGATGCCTGCTGTCTTGAAACCACATTTGAACGCCTTGGTTGAAAAGCAAGCGCAAGCAATATACAAGCGGCATTGATTCGATACATTTAGCCAGGAACCGAGATGGGTGGCCAACAATAGGAACCCTCCATCCGAAGCCTCTCAGGCCTCCCCGTGGGCGCTCATGACGGCTCAAGGGGGTTCCCCGGCGAGCTCTAGGGAGCCCGAAGAGGGCGCGAATAAGCGACAGGAGGCCCCAAACCGCCCAAGGACAGCTCGAACGACCCCAACGGCTGCCAAGCAGCTCCTGAGACGTCCCCGAGGGGCTCTGAGAAGACCCCTCAGATGATCCCTCAGAGGTCCCCAAGATGCACACTCCATTTATTGTGCATTGCTTGCGTGTTCGAAAGCAGTCACTCCGCAATACCTTCTTTGCATTTTCGCGAAGAGCTGCCAAGCGCGCACTCTTCTGCCCACGCGTCCTTCCGGATGCTCGGCTTCTCGTTCGCTCACCTGTTCGATCGTCATTGCACCCACGACGACCCACGAGATCCTCTCAAGGCGGCCCAAAAGATTCCCAAGAGGAATCCAAGAAAGATCCACACTGGTGGCCCAGGATGGGCCCCAGACAGCCCGAGAGGGCCCGAAGACTCCCCGAGCGAGCCTCCAGAGGGATTCAAGACGGCCCATGAGAGCCCCGAGACGGCCTGAGCTGATCCTCCTAAACGATGGGTGCAGCTGGCTCGAGGTTAAGGGACACCCCTGCCTCTGGCGGGATATACTGTACTTCTGTTCTTCGTATTGCGAAGGCCTTACGGCCGGTGCCGCCGACCCTGAAGGGGGACGACGACAATGACGACGGCGGCGGCGACGTCGACGACGACGCTGACGCTCCGGAGCCCTCCGTGGGGCCATGTTGGGAGCCTCTTGGGCCCTGTTGGGACGACGACGACCACGACGACGACGACGACGACGACGACGGGTCGAACAGATCAGCGTCTCATTTGGCCCTCCAACTCGGAATGGTCTTAGACTTCTAGGTGCCTCCAGGGGCATCGGAGTTTTCGGCGAGGGGGCCCGTGCTTTTGGCCCGCGCTCGCGTGCCGATTTTGGGCGCCGTCTGCTGTCGAGCATCGCCGCCCCCCCACCCCGCCCTTCAGTCGTTACTCGGCGGGGAAAGTGAGAGGGGGCGGGCCTTCTCAGCAGGCTCGGAAGGCCTCAGGCCTCCTGAGATGTTTCCTAAGAGTTCTTGCTACTCGCTTCCCCCCTCGCTCGCCGCCAAGTTACGGCATGTTCGTGCCGCATCGACGCGGCGGCGACGCCAGCGCGGGCGTTCAAGGTTGAACGCCGCCAGTTGCCCGGAATCGGCCAGTATTGAACGATTCGGCGATCGAGAATCCGCCGATCGTTCCGGGTTGAACGATCCACGCGGTGTGAGAAGTCAACGCCGAAGTCGTCACGACACGAGCCTGTCGTTTTCGGGTGTGCAACTCGTCAGCAAAAAGCACGCTTATTCAAGCGGTTCGTTCGTATCTCCATCATTCTGCTTCTACTCGTTTTTGTGCTCTGGGAGCGACCTCCGCTCGCCCGCCATCGGTCGATGTCTCCGTCGTCTGCACGTGCTCGTGCCTTCTTTTCCATCTTCCTCCTCCCTCGTGCTCCACTATCTTCGTCACATGCTGTAGCTCTCGATTGCAGGCCCCCGCCGAAGTCGTCGCGACGCGAGCCTGCCGTACCCGCCCCCGCCCCCTGGGTCGCGAGCGACGAGGCACGAGCTGCGCCAGCCTGCCGGTCTCCTGTGGCCGGGCCTCGGGCTCGAGATGCCGGAGCCGATGAAGGTGCGCGTGCCCGAGCTCGGGCCCCACGTGCAGCAGCTCCTCCGCCCGGGCCCGCCGCCCGTCGCCGGCGGCCCCCGGGGAATAGTGAAACGGCACAGTCATATAAGTTTTGAGAGCTCCGCGCGGGTTTCGGGGACCTGCGCTGGACTTCCGAGGAGGAAGAGGCACCGATGCCGCTACCCTTCTCTCGTCACCACGGCTGGATTTTCCCCGAAACTCCGAGTCAGAACGCACCCTGGGAGAGGTCCGTGGAGTAGCGGTGTGGTTGCCTTTTGGTTTCCCCAGGGGCCGCCTCCCTTGCGCCTCTGGCGCCGCCCCTGGCGCGAAGGGGGGCCCAGCGCAGATCCGAGTAATCCTCGCGGACCTCCGACAGTTTTTAGAGTCGGGGAGGGAGGGAAGAGGGAGAGGACGCGAGCCCTCGGTAGGGGACGCAGCGAACCAACAGGTTCAGGGCGTTCGTCACATCGGTCATACGTGGCCTCCCGACGACGACGACGACGACGACAACGACCCGACGCGACGACGACGACGACCACGACGCCATGACGACGACGACCATGACGCCACGACGTCGACGATGACGACGACGTGGCTCCTAGGGTCTTCAGGCCGGAACCCTGCCGTTGACATGCTTATGCGTTAGTGCCGTTGTTTGATCCTGCAGGTTTGGCCGGCCGCGACAGCGACGTGGCCGCGGCTGCGCTGGCGGCGGCGCGAGCTGCGCGGGAGCACTCCGCGGCCGCCAGTGCCGCGTCCGAGGTGGCGGCAAAGTTGGCCGCAGCGATGACGTTCAGGCCTCGTGGGCTCAGTTGATGTAAACAGCGCTGGGCGCGTAGCTTTTGTTCCCCAGCAGGAACGGAACAAAAACGGCAGGCCAAGACAGGAAACACAACGGCAGTACAAAACGGGACCAGACCGAGGACGGCGCGGACGAGAATCGCATACGAACCAACAAACCGACCCTCAACCCAGAAGAAGTGCCCCCAGCGTTTTTGTTGACCACCATGTGAGCTCGTGGGGAGGGGGCCAGTCGAGGCAGCGGCGGCCCTTTCGCTTGGCGTGGTTCGTCCCCCGTGGTGCTTCCGCTGGCGATCCAGGCCGCCGCGGCCGGAGCCGCCTCGAAGAACGGGCCAGGAGGAGCCCCAGGAGGTGTCCAGGCACCAACCTTCGGGCGTTGCGTGACGACGGGGAGATAAACGGTCGGCGGTGCGCCCGAGGGCAGGCGGCGGGGCTTCTCAGAAACCCTCCAGGCTTCAAAGAAGCTTTCATAGTTTTCGAGTAAGGCTCAAGAAACTTCTCGGACGGCCGAAGGCCTTCCGAGCCTTCCGAGGAGGCCCGCTCCCTCTCAGGCTGGCCGCCGATGAATGGGGGGGGGGCGTGAATCGTGGGGGTGAAGACAGGTGCGCCTCTTTTGTGCCCGAAGGGGCCCTCCGGGGGGGCCAAGAGGGGCACGAAAGGGGCACGCTGCTCGCCCCCCCCTCCCCCCCCATTCCATCGCCCCCCCCAGTACGCCCGAACATTGATCAGACTCGGGCCAGGCGGGAGAGCCGCCGTCGTCTCGGCGGTCCCTCCAGGAGGCAGCAGGGCGGGACCCCGCCGAGTCGTGACGGGCTCCGCGTTCTGCACGAGCTCGCGCGGCTCGGCGTCGCCGGCCCCGAGGACTACCCGGCGCGGGCGGAGGAAGGGCCTCTGCCGGTGGCCAGGGTGCTCTCCTTCGAGTCGCCGCCAGCGACGCCCACCATGCGCCTCTCGAACAAGCCGGGGTCGCCCTGGCATCCGGGAGGGGGAAGCGGTGCACCGCCGCCGGGCCTCCGCGGGCGCCGGCCCAGAGGTGGCAGGCACGGGCCGCCCAGGCAGGGGCGGCCCTGTCCGCCAAGGTCTGGGCCCACAGGGCGCCTGTGGAGGTATGGTGGTGGTCTGCAGCGTCTCCTTCCCGTCAGGCGTCCTGACGCGCGCCCGTCTTCCGATACCTGGGTGGTGTGAGCTCAGCTGTTGCCTGGGCGCCTGGGCTGTTCTGCGTCATCCCGACGTGGGCGCATGGCTCATGTCGGGGCAGTGCGAGCGTCCACGTGCATACTGGCTGAGGGGATGGGGAGAGGGGAGAGGGACTGGGGAGAGCGAGAGGGAGACTGGGCGGGAGGAGCAGAAGGAGGAGGATCAGGAGGGGGAGGAGGAGGAGGAGGAGGAGGAGGAGGATGGGGAGGATTGGAGAAGGAGGATGGGAAGGATTCGAGGAGGAGGAGGAGGAGGCGGATTGAGGAGGAGGAGGAGGCGGAGGAGGCGAGGAAACGGAGGAACACGTCTTTCGTCGTCATGTGCGACCTGCAGCCGTCGATAAACACTCTCTACCGTCCGCCTTGCCTTCAAGGTTGTTGGAGGTGGTGGATCTTACGTTTTGCTCCGAACCCTCCAATGGTGGAGTCCTCGTGACAATGGCCTAAGTTCTTGCTCACCGTCCTCCTTGCTCCCGCCTCCTCCCTCTCTCTCTCTCTTTTCTATATGTATGTGGATTCCTGTGTTGCCTGTATTTTGGTTGCTGCCATATCAATTTTATGCGGGTGTTCCATGCATGTGTGTTGTTTTATATTTTTGTGATTCTCTCTCTCTCTCTCCCCCCCTTCTCTATTCAGATACTCATATGTTTACATGTGGACACATGTATCGTATCCATACGTGCACGTACACATACGCATATGAACATTTGTCTTCCTCTGCCTCGTATTGCCCTCCTATGCTGTTTTCTCTTGTCTGATAGCTCTTGCGGCTCTGACAGCTCTTACGGGCCTGTCGTGTTGCTCGCTCCTGATGACTTCCATGGGGCTGCAATGCGCAAAGCTGCCGCCATTTCCTGGGCTCTTGGGGTGCCCAGTGGAGCTCCGTCTTGAATGCGCATGTCTGAAAGGCACCTCGATCCCTCGGGTGCGGCTACGCAGACAACAAGTACATCGCCCTCCTGCGAGCTGCAACTCGCACAGTACACGTGTGGCCAATTCCTGCGCCGCTAAGGGTCCAGTCGAGCGCCCCCTTCGGTCTTGCCTTGCCTGGGCGCTGCCAAGCGGACAACCGTTGCCACTCCCCCCCACCGCTCAGACAAGTGAATCGATGTAGGATCGAGTGAATCGATGTCTGGCGATCCTCCCGTAGTCTGGCAACGCATGAAATGCTCAATCCCCATCGATTCAGCTCGGCACAAGAGATGCTCGTCAACTGGCAGTCACTCCGTTCACTACACGTCACGCATGGTTAACGAGATACGGAACCACGATTTCCTGGTGGGGGGCAGCCACGGAGTGTCCTGTGCCTGCATCTGTCGGCATGGCCTCTTGAGATCGGGGGTGCGGCCAAAACTTTCAATACGATGCCATGATCGCTTTGGCAGCTCTTACAGTTCGCTTCGATAGTTTTTGAATTGTCATTGCTTTGGCAGGACGACACTCGTGGACAGTCAGTGTACCAATGCATGGTTTGCCGCAGTCGTTCACGTCGGCCGCAGTTGCCGCTATAGTGTTTTATGTCGATTCGCGCCCTCGACCGAGGGAGTTGGGTTTGCTCAAAGGAGGACTCGATGTCACGGCAGAAGTTTGTGCTCTCTTAGCTATCGCAGTTCGGGGTTCTGCTGTTGGGTGCGCCGGTACCTGCCAACCTCCTAGAGGCGGAACACGCAGGTGCACACAACGATTCTTTTCTCGAGCTGCGCATGACGAGTGGCATTGTTGCCCAGCGCTCCGACGAATCCTGCATGCCAGACCTGTACTAGTTACAAGAAGCACTGTGCCCTTTGCCAGCTGAGACTGCGGGGCCCCAACCCAGGGGGGCTGGTATCTCCTTAGTGCCCAGGGATGGCCCTGGGTTGATACCTCCCGCTTGCTCGCTTCATTCGTCGCTTCGCGCATTCCGCAAGTCCGTGTTGCATCATCTTTGGTACTTGCTTGTGGTGAGAAGGGCCGTGTACGACAACGTAAAGCCAATATTGAGATACCTGTGAAAGCGAAGCGACGCAAGACCAGCCCACGCAGTTCCCAATCATGCCCAAATTGGCGGCCTGTTTGAGGCTTCACCCCAGCGAATCATCGAAGCGCGAGAAGACGAGAAGGCAAGGGGCAAGGACGATCGAACTTACAGTAAGTTACATTACGCTGAGCCCCTGGGGGAATCCTGGGAGCAATTTTGGGGAGCATCTGGGGAACTCCTCAAAGTCTCTGTGAGGCTTCCGGCGGGTTGCTAGGGGCCTCTCAGTGGCCGTGGGGGGCTCTTGAGAGCCTCGTGGATGCTGCATTGGACCATCTTGGGCTGCCTCGGGGCTGTCTTGGGGCGTCTTGGGGTTGTTGTGGGGCCAATTTTGGACCTGCCACCCGATGGGCATTGCCGCTCTTGGGGGTAATCGAAGCCCTCTTGGAGCCCTTCTGGTCTCCACTTGCAGCCATCGGAAACGAAACGGCGAGAACGGCAGGTCATGCAACAAACACAGTGTTTGAAGGATCTGTTTTTGTTGATGCTGTCTTGGGTCATCTTGAGCCACGGCTATCTTGGGGCCTGTCGTTGCTGATTGTTGGCCATCTTGGGGCCTGCCATCCTTGGTCCTTCCTCTAGGGCCCTCTTGGAGCCTTCTCGGGACCTTCCAGAAGCGCTCTCGGGGACCCGCGGAACCTTTTTGGAGCCCCCACAGGTCCTACTTGGAGCTATCTTGGGTGATCTTGGAGCCTTCTTGAGGCCGCAGGAGGCCGCCGGAAGCGAAACTGCGATAAAGCTGACATAGTTCAATCTCTCAGGGATGTGTCCAGCCCATTCGCAACACGTGACACTATGAACGAGCCCATGCAAGACGAATGGACACATCAAACGTCACTTGGTCCTTCGTGCAAGCTACATGTGCAGCCCATCAATTGTCTGCTCAATGGGACCTGTACGAGGCGACACAGCAGGAACGGATGTCGAAGGGGGACGACACGAACGACGACGAACGAACGGAGAAGGAGTTGGAGGATGTGACAGGGTGATGATGTATGAGTGTTGCGGGTCGCATGAGCGAGGGCGACTACCAACCATCAAGTGGAAACGCAGGACGGCGTGCATGGCGAAGAGGAATGACATACGATCGGTGTCGGCTAAGGTTACAACGAGGTTGGCTCAAGTGGGCTGGCTCAAGTTGGCTCAAGCCAAGTCGGTTGGCTCAAGTCGGCGCTACCGCGCGCGAGTGCCGAGGCATCCCGCGGAGAGCTGCAGCCATGTGCGCGCTGCCTGCCCGCGCCCCCCAGCGGGCCCCCGAGGAGACCCCCCCGCCCGAACGGCTCATCATGGAGGGTATCCCGATGGAGTACGGCAGCATTGACCAGCTGGAGATCAGCAACCACCTGGACATTGGGGACCTGGTGGAGATCCACGGCTCCCAGGACATCGGCGACCACCGGGAGCTCATCGGCCACCTGGACTTCGGCGACCCCTTGGCGGTCCACGACCACCAGGGCTTCGGCGACTGGCGGAAGACCATTGACCACCTGGGCGTCGATGCGCAGCTGGAGGTCCTCAAGCGCGACCTCCGCAACCTCAGGGACAAGGATCTTGCGGGTTATCAGCATGGTGCCATCACCATCGCTACCAACGGGAGTCGGGCTGACAACGTCAACACTGGCGCCGACGACGGCACTGACGTCAACATCATCGGCGCCAGCATATCCAGCATCATCGACGCCAGCTTCAACAACGCCAACACCCACGGCAGTACTGTCGCCAGCACCCCGCCAGCATCTGCGACCGGGCCTCTCCGACTCCAGCTCCGACCCCAGTCCACGGCGACCATGATGACGACGAATACGACGACGTGTGCGACGACAGGGATGCTGGGACGCAGGGAGGGACGACTGGGACGACGATGCGTTTGACGACAGGGTCAGGTTTGGTTGCCAGCTGCGAGATGCAGATATTCGTCACGACACTTACGGGTAAGACGATTACGCTCGATGTGGTGGCCAGCGGCACTATCGCCATGATGAAGACGATGATCAAGGACAGCCAGGACATCCTTCCGGGTCAGCAGCGGCTGCTACACTCTGGGAAGGCAATTGGAGGACGACAGAGACCTGCTCGACTACAACATTCAGCACCACGCCACGCTCTACTTAACGCTCCGCCTTGGTGGCGGCATGGACGCTACGCAGCCGCATGGCGGCGACGACGACATGACAGCGCAGGACGACGACGGCATGCGTGACACGGGTCTCTCCCAGCAGTTGGCGGACATCTCGCTACCTGGGGCGGCTGCTGTTGCCTCGCCTCCTGGACTCGTAGGCCCTCCGGTCTCACTCACCACGCTGCAGGACCCGTAGCTGCCGCTCGACGCAGTGCAAGAGCTTCTGGAGGCCGGGACGTGGGAGGAACTCCGAAAATTGCTGGCGAAGCTCGCCTTCCGGCTTGACACCGCCGACCCATGGCTGTTGCTGGGCTTCGGACCTTACTGCGGACGGGAACCCTCGGAGCTCGACATCCTCGCAAGGGTTCGGCTGGGCTGCCTTCTATTGGACCTGGGCGCCTCTCCAGCGTGGACGGCAGAGCACCAACAATGCGCCGCACAGGCTAAGAAGCAGCTTTCTGCCGCGGGGGCCTCCTGCGAGGCGGGCTTTGATGCTATGCGCCGGGCTCGTCGCCAACTCCATCCCGATCGTCTACCTCGTGGGCGGGAGCTGGGCAGCGACGCGGTTGCTGCCTTGCTAGCTCTCCCGGGCATGGCTGGTGCGACGACACGATTCTATAGGCTTACGCCACATCCGCCGACCCCTATATAAACTACTGCGCCTCCAGGACTGCATTTCACGAGGCTTGTCCGAATCAGGACACGGCATTCGACATCGTTCCTGTTGCCTCGTTGCTGTTATCGTATCTGTTGGTGCTCTTTTGCGGCCTTTTGGTGGCATCTTGGCCTGTCTGCAGGCCATATCCGGCCGCCTCGAGGCATCTTGGGCCAAGTTTTGGGGCTTCTTGGGGGCTTCCTGGGGGCTTCTTGGAGGCCTTTGAGGGTCTCTTGGGGGCCCTCAGGGCCTCTTGGGTTGTTATTGGGGCAGGCTGGGGGCGTCTTGGGGCCGAAGGCTCGAAAAGGTGCCCTCTGGGCTCCGTCTTGGAGCCGTCTGGGGGCCCTCTTGGGTTGTCTTGGGGTCTTCTCTTCGACCCTTCTTGGGGGCCCCTTTGGCCGTCTTGGGGCGATATTGAAGGTTTCTCTGCCCGTCTGGGACGTTGTGAAAACCGAGCAGGCGAACATGCGACACATGTTGTTTTTTCGAAGGGAATGGGGCGATTTTTGTTTCCTGGGACTCTCTTGGGGCGCATTTTGGAGCCTTTTGGGGCGTCTTGGCAGCTTCGGAGGCCGCCTGGAGGCCATCGTGGGCGTCCAGGGCGATATTTCGGCGAATCGTGGCCCCTTGGGACCGTCTGGGGAGCGTTTTGGTGGCTTCTTGGCAAGTTTTGGAGCTCTCCGCTCCCCCGTGACGCGTTCGGTCCGGGGTCGGGCTGGGCGAGGGGGGGGGCGTCGAATTCCCGGTTTCGGGTCCCTGGGGGGGATTATGGGGGGGATAATCTCACACGCCTAGAGACCCACAAGGGGTCGGCGGATTATGATGATGATGGTGCTGGTGATGATCTGTAATGGTGATGGCAATGCTGATGCTGATGTTGCAGTTGCGGGGTACGATGATGGTCATGCTGATGATAATGTTGATGAGGATGATGATGCTGATGATTATGATGCTGCTGATGATGATGATAATGCTGATGATGATGATGCTGCTGATGATGATGATGCTGCTTATGCTGGTAATTGTGCTGATGGCGACTGTGCTGCTTCTCATGACGAGCATGTTGATGCTGTTGTGAGTGATGATTACCATCTCGTTGACCATGAGGATACTGATGATACTGATGCTATTGGGGGGGCGAGCGGCGAGAGATGGCGGGCAGGCGGTGCGACGAGGTCGAAGGGGGACGCCGCAGAAGCAGTTTAGTTTGGGACCGTGGTCGGGCAGTTCGGCGTAGAACCGATGGGTTCCGGGCACCCCTGCGGGTGTGCCCGTTGAACCGTTCGGTTCCGTCGAGCTTTCCTGTAAATCCTCGTTGAACTAGCGGTTCCGAGCACCCGCATGGGTGCTCGTTGAACCGCGGGTTCCGGGCATGTGGCCACGCAGAAAGCCTCGTGCACGTCATCGTTGTCGTCGTCCTGTTCGTCGTCGTCGTCGTTATTGTTCGTCCGCGTTTGAAGGTTGCGGTTTTGAGAGGTTGTCGCGGGGCCCGTGGACGTTCAGAACACGATGTTGAGAGCTTCGACATGTCACGATGGAAGGGTTCTGGGGGGGAGACGGACCCGCGGGAAAGTCCAGGAGAGTCGTCCGTGCCATGGGGAAGGTAGGGGTGGGGAGGGCGACGACAACGACAACGACGACGGACGCCGACGACGATTGTTACAACGATGGCGGCGGCGACCGCATAGACGACGACGTCGTGGGAGAAGTGCTCATGTTCTTTGATGGGCGACAATCGTCGCAAAGGGGGATGCGGGGGAGAGCGGGCTTACGTGGCATATCTCCCCCCCAGAACCCTTCCATCGAGGAGGCGGAGGAGGAGGAGGAGGAGGAGGAGGAGGAGGAGGAGGAGGAGAAGGAGGAGGAGGAGGAGGAGGAGGAGGAGGAGGAGGGGGAGGAGGAGAGGAGAGGGAACGGAGAAGGAGGAGGAAGTGGAGGAGGAGGGATGGGGAGGAGGATGGGAGGAGGAGGAGGAGGAGGAGAGGAGGAGGAGGAGGAGGAGGAGGAGGAGGAGGAGGAGGAGGAGGTAGAGGCGAAGGGGAGGAGGAGGAGGAGGAGGAGGAGGAGGAGGAGAGGAGGAGGAGGTGGGGGGAGAGGAGGAGAAGGCAAAAGGAGGAGGAGGAAGGTAAAAGGAGGAGGGGGAGGAGGCGGAGGAGGAGGAGGAGGAGGGAGGAGGAGGAGGAGGAGGAGGAGGGCGAGGAGGAGGAGGAGGAGGAGGAGGACGAGGAGGAGGAGACGGAGGAGGAGGAGGAGGAGGATGAGGAGGAGGAGGAGGAGGAGGAGGAGGATAAGGATGAGGAGGAGGACAATGACGAGGACAAGGAGGAAGGATATGGACGATACCGAAGGGCGAGGGGAAGGAGGAGGAGAAGGAGGAAGAGGAGGAGGAGGAGGAGTAGGAAGGAGGCGGAGCAGGAGGAGGAGGGGGAGGAGGAGGAGGAGGAGGCGGAGGAGGAGGCCTCTTGAGGCTTGGGACGGCATGGTTGGCGCGCACTGCAGGTAGTACATATTGTATATTATAATGTAGAATTAACCACGTGAGATATGCGCCTTTCGGCCGGATGCAGACTTGCTTTGCCTTGCCTCCTTCTCCTCCTCCTTCCTCCCTCCTCCTCCTCCTCCGGTCCCTCATCCTACTCTCCTCATCCTCCTCCTCCGATCCTCCTCCTCCTCCTCCTCCTCCTCTCCTGCTTCTCCTCCTCCTCCTCCTCCTCCTCCTCCTCTTCCTCCTCCCCCTCCTCCTCCTTCCCCCCTTCCTTGATTTTTCGCCGAGGCTCCAGGCTCTCGAAGCTCGTGGAGCTATCCCGCGGTTGTCGGCGCCAGGGGCCGCTTCGGGCCCCGTGGGTGTCAGAGACGAACCCGGGAAGAAAAACTACCTCCAGGAAGGATCCTCCCTCCCTCCCTTCTCTCTTCATTAGGCTGACGATGAGCCCTCATATTCCGACAGTCCCTCCGCCCCTCGTCCTCGTTCTCCTCGCCGTTGGGGCCTGCTCCCGCGTCGCCGGCGCCCTCGGTCCCTCTCGTCCCCCTCGTCCCCTGTCGCCCCCTCGCGCTTCTCCGCTCCCTCGTTTTCCTCCGCTTTCTCGTTCTGCTCCGCTCCCTCGTCCTCCTCCGCTCCCTCGTCCTCCTCGTCCTCGCCCTCTTCGTCCTCGTCCCTCGTCCTCCTCCTCCCCTCCCTCGCTTCCTCGCTTTCCTCGTCCCTCGCTCTCCTCGTCCCTCGCTATTCTTCGGGGGCGGCCTATCGCTCTGTCTCCGCTCCTGGCGCGCCTTCCAAAACTCCCTACCAGGGGGAGGGGAGGCGCCCGAGGGCCCAGCCCGGCCCCCCCGTATTCCTCCTCCGCCTCCTCCTCCTCATCCTCCTTTTCCTCCTCCTCCTCCTGCTCCTCCTCCTTTTCTCCTCCTCCTCTCTCCTCCTCCCTCCATCCTTCCTTCCCTCCCTCCCTCTTTTCCCTCCCTCCTCCCCTCCCTCCCTGTTTCCTTCCCTCTCTGAACTAGGCTGACGA